GAAAGAAGTATTTTATTTGGTATCCTAGTAAAAAAGATGGCACAAGTGAGGAGGGGTGGAATTTGGTGAGGTGGACATGAAGGAAGGAGTCACTTGAAAGAAATGTAACCCCCAATTCATAGCTCTCTAGTCTCTGATCCAGGAGTTATAGGCTACAGTTCAAGGTGATTTTTCTCTTTTATAAATTCTGAATTATGAGAGGATGATACATGTTACAGAGACTTGGCAATCTCATTTTCTTTATCAGGGTAGTTAAAATTATATCATGTTCAAAACATTTACACCAGAAACATTTACACCAGACTTAAGTCTTTTAATAAAGAAACATTAGGCTGGGGTTTACCTTCACATTTAGTGCAGAAAATGCACACTAGGTATTCTATAACCATATTGAGAAGCTAATTCTAGAATATAAAACCTTTAAACAGCTCTAGCTTATGCCTGTGCTGGAGACATATGATCTCAATGAAAAGTGTAAAACAACAGCCCGCCAGATGTTTTGACTACATGATGCGCCACATCTTAATGTTTCCTAGACTGGCAGTGCTAATACTAGAGAGTCAAGATTTTAAAATTAACACGTTCTGTTTTAACCTTTTCTTATTCTTTACTTTAAAAATGTTTTATAGTCAAAACATTCATATGCTGAAAATTTTTTTCAAACACATGTTTTTTAGAAAGAATGTTTATAAACTATAAACAAAATCTAGGAAGAACATATTGCATTTCTTACGGTAAGTGTATAATATGAACTGTTGGCTGGTATAGCTAGGGAATAAAATTTTCAGGTTAATCAAATATTCTGCAATATTACATCATAAGTATTATAATTTTTAAGTGTTAGAAGCTCAATATTACACTCATACCAAGCATGATTTGCTTATAAATATATCAGAAAGCACTTTAGAATCTTGCTAAAGCTTGTCATAATTTTGACACCAGCTTCGCTATACACGAATTTCTTTCAATAGAGTTCTAGTTAATAATATGTCAAGCAACAAATTCATTGTATTAATGCTCATCATCACTCACAGGAATACTTTGAAGAGGAAGGCAGGTGCCATTTCAGTTGGGGGAAGAGGGAACAGAAGCAGCTACTTCTGATCAAAATAACACAACTAACTCCAGCCTTAAGGCAGCATTGCTTCATCCTCCTTAAAACAGCCCCTTCATCCTGCCCCAAACTAACATTTAAATATTCTCCTCTGAAAATGCAAATACCACTGTGGGGGTGTGTGTGTGTGTGTGTGTGGTGTATTGGTATCAATTATATCTTTGTTGGCAAAAGGTTAAGGAGAAATGACACAGGATAGAAAATGGTGGCATCAGAAGGGGAAAAATGGATCTGTTAGAGAAGTAGAAATATTGTCGATTTTACAGTTTTGCTCAGGTCTCAGTTATGACAAACTGCGGTTACAGATGTTGAAAACAACGTTCTATAATCTTACTTTGCATTGATTTCTATGTTCCCATTTGTAGTGAACCCAAATGAATCCCAGTGGCCAGATCTAATGTATTAACATAATTTATGTTACCCAAGCTGTTCCCTTTTGTGAAGCTTTTTTAAAAAGCTTAAACAAAGTCATAAATACAGACAAACACAAAAGCCCTTTGAGGGAAGACAAATAAAATGTTACTTTTAGAGCTATTAAAAATCTTATAATTTTGTCATTTGAATTTTCTTTAGTTTTTATCTTGTGAAGCCAGAGAGTGTGGAATGATTCTTCAGCTGGCTTGAATAGTCAAAAAAAAAAGTCTCTTTTGAATGCCTGTAATAAAGATCTGTTACAAATAGATTTTTTGTTTGATTGCCTTTTGAAATAACTTTTTATAATAACATAAAACATTACTGTGGCTGCTTTAACAATAAAAAAAAAAATCTTAGTTCAAATTTGAAATTATATTGCTCTATAATTCCAGAAAAAAGTTTGGTTAAGGAAATATGCTGAGCCACATAACTATTTTGTTTTAATTGGCAGTGTTATCTAATGTACATATACAAAGTAAGGATCACAGTACAGAGCATACAGAGGTATTGGAGGAATTAAGACCACAGATCATCTATTAGGAATACAGAGTTTGGTCAGAACTGATGCTAAGTATATTTAATCACTATCAGCCCCCTTGGTCAAAGGGGAAAAAGAGGTAAATCTAAAACAGTAAAAAGAAAAACAAACAAAAAAAACCTGTGCTTAAGTTGCTGGGTGATAAATTCCCCTTGGAAATAATTGGTGAGGTAGTTAGAAAACAGCACAACTCTGGGGCCCTGCTCCTAATAAATATACCTTTGACATTTAATATGAAACCAAGAAATATATGCTACTATGCTACGCTCTGTTTATCTAACTGTAACAGATGTCAACTTTTATCTTCTAACGAACTAGCAGGGTGTTTTTAGTTTGTGGCTTCTAAAATAAATTCAGTTTCTACAGTAAGCTGGATGGATTGGTCGTATGTATAAGAATTAATAAACTTTATTTATGAAATCATTAAGTTGTAAAAACAAAGGCATTACAGAAGTTTAAAATTCTACTATTTTTTAAGGCTTCATGTGAACACCGCCCCCATTCCAGACTATTTACAAAGCATTTTATTTAAAAACCTCTGGATACAGAAAAGAGAAGAATTAGAAAGCACAGCGGATGATTGCAAATATTTTCTGTTTCACTCTTGTTTTAAGGTGTTAGCCAAGAAACATCAGTGTTTCAAATGAACTACAAAGTTGGCAGAAATGTTAGTAAATCTATTCATCCCTGGTCCACTTTACCAAGTTTGTATTCACATTTTTAATAACAAACACTTCAGAGTATTTGGGCTACGTTTCTTCTACTTCATGATTAGAGTCATGTACACACAGGAAAATAATTCTGTTTTTGTTAACAAGAGATTCTTTTTTTAATCTAAATATACCAACATGATGGAGATTTTGTCTATAGGCTAAATACTATTCTCTGGGGAAGAGATTGGGGTTTTAAAATGTAAGCAAATATTTATATTATGAATCAGGTTGTAATGGGCAGTTTTTTGGGAGTGGGAATTCCCACTAAGATGATCATATCATTTAATAGCTACTAAACTAGTAAAGCCTTAGAAGTTTTATGTTTAACATAATGGTCAATAGTAAATAGGAAAAAAGTCTTATGCTCTGAAATTCTGGCAAGTGTATTGATTGCAGTCTTTATTTAGTAACATTTTCAAGTTAAGCTTGGCAGCAAAGATTTGTGAGTTTTACTGCAAGCCATCATATTTATTGTTACAGCAGCGCATAAGCCAAAAAACCCCAATAAAATTGGAGCATATGCAGAGTCTTACATTTTGTCTATTCTCTAAAAGTGAAGTGAAACCCTCAGACATTGTTCTAGATAATTCAAGTTTCAATAATATCCCCAAGATTCAGAAATTGAGTTAAAATTGTTTGGGGTTCCTGAATTTACCAGATTGTTGCTTTGGTTCTTCATTCACAAAAATGAATTTTCAAATAAGAAATGAGGTGGAAAATTTTTGTTATATTTCCAAGTAGTCAATTATGAATTTTGTGTGAATGCACAATTTTCTGAAGAAACCTTTCTATTTTACTCTTATAGAGAAATTGTTTAGGGATAATAAATAGATAATACATAAAATTGTAGGTATCATTCTTAAGTGGAGATGAAACATAAAACTATAGTAATAATCCTTTGTCAATTTTTTCACCAGTCATTATTTAAAAGCTTCTTTGTTAGTAAACTTTAGTGTAGCTTTAATAAGAAACATACAGATCATATTTATTATATATATTTAGAAATATACTTCGGTCACTAATTATTGCCCATACTGTGATATAATCTCATTAATAGTTTTCAAAACAGGATGATGTCAGTTATATGGGAAATGCTTTTGGAATTCTGAGAGTGCTGATTCAGAATTCTTACAAAACTTAGGAATATGATACAATACCATTTTATATCAAAAATAAATTATAGTCCAAAAGAATTTCCCCACAGACTTGGAAATTAAATTTGGGTAGTACTTAGTCATGAATGCAACAACATATTTATCTATTTTCAATCACTCTAAAAGACACAGAAACCACATCTTCCATATGCACATATGTTACACAGTAGGGTGAAGACACCACATATAATGACTGCATTTGACCATCTTTGGAATGGAGAGGAAGCTCAAACATCAAAACTGAAGACTAAAGCATTTAGGAAAAGCAATAAGAGCACAGTTTATACTTTAGGAAGCTGAGTTAGTATTTTATTCCCCCACTCCCAAAGCACACACCTGCCTTTATAAGGAAGAACCAACCATGTGAATGAGAACTGGAGTCAAGGTTAAAGTAATCTTCCCCAAGAGAGTAAAGTGCATCAGAGAGAAGCAGCAGCTCAGCTCAAATGAACATTAACAATCAAAGGTAGCCCTTCCCCTGGTAAACAGTAGAGCCTCTTGGACATATGTTTGAAATTCATCCTCCTAAGTCATTTTGTGACTATAGGAATAGGTGACAATGTCCGATCATCTGAAGGGGGGAAAATACAGCACGAATCATTTAAAAAATTATCACTTAAAAAAAAATAATACAAAAGTGCAAAGTGTTCTAACTGTCAAAGAACCTTTGCAGATGGTAAAGGAAAAGCTTTGTCTTTCCTATTGTTGTTTGCCCTTCAGTTGACATACATGCCCAGTTGCATCAATAGGATTACGGCGGAAACACGGTAAGCTCCAGGTTTCCTCTGCTTGGATTCCTTGATCTTGTTTAAAGAAACAGGCTCAGGGAATACACAGAAAACAAACTTCCCAATCGGAGTTCCAAGGTGGTCTTTCTTTCCCTTCTTCCAGCCTCAGAAACACGTCTAGTTTTACCGATAGCACCCGACAGAAATGTCATGGTTATGTTGCACTACTTCACTTGTTGAATTATGTGAAGGCAGCACTTGACCACAGTAACTTGGTGAACCGCCTTGCTCTTAATTTAGCCCCTAAGATTTCTTTCCAGTTCAATGGAAATGTCTTACCTGCATGTGTCCCTGGTACATTCTGCTTCGACTTCTTCAAGGCTTCCTGAGGTCACTGGATGCTTTCCCTGTATTAACTTGCACACCTACAGAGGGGAGACGGCGGCGTGCACACTGGGTTCTCACAGGGTGCCCCTGAGCCGGGTCCAAGGCTTCAGGTAGCCCGCAGGCAGCGGCTCCTCGGCAGCGCGGCGGGCTGCCGGGAACTGTTCTCCGCTCGCGGTGCTGAAAGCGGACTCGGGAGAACGCGCCGAGGAGGCGAGGAGCCCAGGCGGCCACGCTTCTCTCGCAGGCGGAGGTCCTGCTCGCCGGGTGTCTCTAAAACTCACTCCTTCTCCACCGAACTCTTTCTCGCTTCATGCCAGGCTGCCTCATGTCTCTCTCACTCTCTTCGCCGCGAACCTCCTCCTCCTCCCAGCCCTGACGTGAGCGCCCACACCAGCCACCGCCGCAGCTGCCGAGCGGGGCGCGCGCCACCCTCCCGGCAGCGTCCCTGCTGAGAGGCCGCGGGCCGGGCACGCGCGCGCGCCCCCGGTGGGCCTGGGAAGGGCCAGAGGGCGGTGCACAAAGCACCGCGCGTGTGCTCGGGGATGCACACACGCGGAGGCAAAGTGCCCGCCGGTAGTGGTGGTGGTGGTGGCGCGACGCGTTCAGGTGCGGAGTCGGCTGCCAGGGCGATTTTAGCCCAGCGGATGGCCAGCAAGAAAAGAGGGAGGAAAATGCATTGTCTCTTTGGGGGCCATCAATATCGACTGAGCCCATCTTCCTACAGACATAATAGGCTGAGCTTGAGCGTTACTGAAGAGTTTACTTCTGATTCAACTCTCACAAGTTACCTTCGTGTTATTCGGTAAATAGGGGCTCTCCCCAGTCACCCCCCCCCCAATTGATCACTGAGCACCCTACTATTTTAAATCCCAAACTTCAGTCCCCAAATGCTTTCCATAATTTTTTCCCTTAGCACTTACCATCTAATATCTTGTATATTTTACATATTTATTTATATTGTCTGACTCTGTCTACATATACAATATTATTTCCATGAGATAAGGAATACTTTGGGGAAGGAGAGGAGTGCATTTTGCACGGATATAGCAGAGCACAGTAGAGTACCTCTCAGCACATAGTAGGCATCCTATAAATATTTGTTGAATAAATGAGTCTTTATAATATACAGGTGGAGTGCATTTAAATATGTCTCAAGTTGAAGAGACTGGATAGTTTGATGTAGTTTTTACATTATAAATGTATATACATACACCACGAGCTGGTGTATGTGTGTATACTGATTACCTAGTTTTAATGGTAAAAAGAACTTCACGCAACGACATGCTCCCCAAATTATATGCAGCATAATATAATCACCCAAATATTGCACATAGCAGAAATATTTTTCATAAAGTTTAACAAAAACTCCCTTGGAATATAAATATATATTTACATACAACTGTATGAAAAGGAAAGCAGTAGAACAATGAATACATTATTCAGAATGTTGGTGACCCTGAGTGAGGGAGGCCGGGAAAGGGATGAGGAGGCACTTTATATGAAGGTTAATTGTCAATATCTTAGCTATTATGCTGGGTGGTGATTCACAGACATGTATTAGCCTATAAAAATTACTATGTAACTAAGTAAAATGAAGTCATGTATGGACTAGTAAACAGAGTGTAAAACGAACCAAAGAAATTATTAAACAATTCAATGCATCTGAGGTCCTGAAATAACTGACCAATCAACTAACCAACCAATCAAACACAAAATGACAGACTGGTAGGCAGGATATGTAGATTCCTTATTCAACTCCACCCATAGTTAACATTGGACAATTTTCCTTACCCTCTAGACTTCTGCTTTTTCATGTCTAAATCATTATAAACAATTTTTTTAATCCTGCAATTTGAAATATGTTCATAAGCACTGTAAACTGTAAAATGTTTGTGTTTTTTTTTTTTTTTTTATAGGACAGAGCACTGGAATAGAGCTCAGCAGATAAAAGTGCTAGTTCCTTCTCACTACCTCATCACTCTCTTGGGCAAGTATACTAATTCTCCATTTCCTCACTTTTGAAGTAAGGCAAATATCTTCCCAGCCTACTGCACAGGGCTGCTGAAGGCTGAATTCATGCAAAGGGAGTTTTAAATTATAAACCACTATGTATATGCAAACAGACTTTTTTCCAGTCCAGAAAAGATGAGTGATGATTTCCTGAGACCTCAAGCTCTATAAATTTAAGAGGGGAAAATTATTTATTATAAATGCTACCATGTTGGTCTAAAAACCTTAGGGGAAATTCTAGTGTTTGATTTGAAAGAGCTAGACATCTGTGAAGTAATAGTAGGGCAAAAGTTTTATAATCCATTATATGCTTATTATTATTTAATGACAGATTCAAGGAGCTATCAACCATAAAAGTATTTGGACCAGCAAGGCAACCACCTAGAGCTGAAGATAGAACTCATATCTTTTCGTTAAATCTAAGTAACTCATTTAGTTACTTTGTACTTCCATAAAATCTCAGGAATACAAGTGCATCTGTGAAAACATCCTTCTACTTGTTCATTTGTTCATTCATTCATTCATTAATTCATTCATTCATATTTATTAAGAATTTAGTATGTGTGAGTGCTGTACCAAGTGCCAAAATATACTGATGAATAATGCAGATATGGTCTCTATCTCCATGGAACTCACAGTCCAGATACCTGATAAGAGTACATTTTACCATCCCAGAAAGATAAATCTGTCTAGACTTTTTTTAAACAAACAAAAACTACAGAGGTTACGCATTTTCCACGTTTCCTCGACCCAAGAATTCACATCTAACCTCTTCTAGTCAAACATTTCCTTCTCAGTTGTGAACGGTAATCCTCTCTATGGCACAAATATTTCCTTCGAAGCCTATGAATATGAGCGAGGCTTGTGATCAAACACACTTGGCTGATTACCAACTCAAGTGGCAGTATCTCTAGATACTTTTGATTCATAGAACCATCTAACAATTTATATATGCCATTTAGCTAGGCCAAAAACCGTCATTCAAATCTAGCATTTTAGCTCAAGTAATCTGGCATTTTGGTGCAAAATAAACTGCACCAAGTAAATATACCAGTATAAAATTGATAAGATAAAGCAGGTGTGTACTGTATTTTGGTGAACCCTAAGAATTTTATGATACACATAAAAAAAGCTGAATCATAATATAATTATATTTGTAGAAAGCTTTTTTTGCAAATTAGGTTGTTTTTAAGAGATCTTGAAAGGAGAAAAATGTGCATAAATTTATCTTATGACTGCAATAATGGTAAGAAAGCATCGTTTTATGTAATCTCTGCCCCCTAAATCCCAGAATCATTAAGGTAAGTGGGCAGAAGGTAAATAAACAAACCAAAGATGAAGCAGTTTGGAAAAGGTGTGGTTCTTTTGGAACCGAGGTAAGTGGCAGCAGCCATATGCCTGCTTCTCTGATACCAGAAATATTTGAATAAAAATGGAAATCTCTGCCTAACATCTATATGCTTTATATATATTGACCTTTCACAAGATTTTCCAGTTTTCACATTAATAATTGAATGGTGGAAAAATAACTCTGAAGATGAAGATGAATTTGAAGATGTAATGTGTCAAACCAAATGATTACATCTGTTATATGAAGCAAAAGAACGTCTCCGTATACACTATGGAAGGAATAATTACTAATGAACCTTTTCTTACCAAACCTGCACACAGGTATATCACAGGCAGTAATGCTGCCATCAGCAACAGTCTTACTCATAAGTGGCTGGGCCATGATTATCCAGCTAAACTCAGAATAATTCATATTATTAATGCATGCATTGTTTCTGAGGAAAATAAAGATAATCCATATCTTATTCCTTTCATGTTGTTGTTTTTCAGCTAAAATAGGCATGATTTAATATCATATCCCAGGTCCAGAAAGTGTTTCTCATTTTAAATTCAAAGACTCTTGTTACTCAAAGTGTGGTCTTCAGCCAGCAGCATCAGAATCTCCTGAGAGCTTGTTAGAAATGCAGACTCTCGGGCCCCATTCCATCTGGACCTACTGAATCAGAATCTGCATTTTAACACAATCCCCAAGGGATTTGTATGCATCATCAAATCTGAGCTGCACTGTAGCCTAGAAGGTTTATTTATTCATGTAAATATGTGGCAAAGCTAGCTAGCTCTTGCCTTTTGCAATGATAGCACATGAGCAACATCAGTACCAAGTGAAAAGCACAATGCATATCACTCTCCATTTATGAGATTATCTAACTGTATTCTGAGTGGCCAGAAGACTTGACATAAAATCATAGCACACCCAGCTTTCTTACAGCAAGAATTTTGCTAATACTGCTTGCAATTTTAATTACTATAATAAAATTAAGGAGTTGACTGGTAGCAGAATATATTTCGTATTGACCAAATTAAATTTTATTAGTAACTGAATCTTCTGCATATTAAATGGTTATTGAAAATTCAGGATATATTAAATCTTTTAAAACACTGAGTAATAATGATGTCAGTATGCTGTGGACTTAAAAAAAATTAGGGATAATAGTTTTCTGGTGATTCAACCATTCTTTTATAATCTGTACAATTCAAACCCTGCTGCTCTAAGATGGTGTAGGAGAACAAAAGTCAAAATAACTGTAGACTCAAATTAAAATGACTAATTGGTTTTTATTGTTCAATCAGAGGGAGGAACATGTTGTTAAAGTTTGCTCACTTGCCCTCTTTGACACATTAAATGAGAGTAGCTGGTTCAGGGCATTAGATCTGGAGAGTTTCAGAAGCTCACGCAGAAAACCCCAGGCTGTCAGGGATAATTATGACTAAAGTTTTCTTTAAGTACATAAACTCTGGTAACTAGGAGATGGCAGCAATGTTCTTCCAAATGAACAAATAAGCTGGGTGGTTCAGATTGAACCTCTTATTAAATCAGTTTAAGAAATTACACTAAAAATAATTTACATTAGTTATTTTCTTTATGGCTATCTTCTTTCAGTGATCCAATGTTGCTTTTAATATTAAATGTACTTTCTAGAATTTCTTAGTCTTGGTGAGAAACATTTGCAAACAAAATGTCTCTTGTTTTTGGCTCTTCCATTCTACTCTTACCACCATCATCCTACTGAAGGCTACCTAAATGTCTTACCAATCTCAAAGCTAGTTTTATTACCTCCATATGTCTCCTACTCCAACCTATCAGATACACTGCAGTCAGATTAATTTCACAAAGGCCAGTATTGATCATGTTATTGGCCAGTTCAAAAACTTTATTGACTTCCTACTGCCTGCTAACATCTAAAAACTTTAGCTTTTTATATATAGTCATAGAATATATTTTGCT